TGGAAGAATTGATGCCCCTATGTATCCGGATAGATGGGACCATGACCAACCAACGTCACATCATTGCGGGTCCTCGGCCTGTTGGTCGAAAGGGGGCCGATGCGGGAGTACCACGTCGCTTGGGACCGCCGCCATCTCGTGCGCCCGATGTAGAGGAACCCATGCAGCTGGGCTCCATGCGCCCCAAAATTGATGCGGCGGAAAAGGCGCGGAGGCAACGGTTAAACCTGTGTTGGTATTGTGGGGGCAGCGGACATTTCTCTCGGGAGTGCCCAGTAAAGAAGAAGACAAGTCCCCGCCTGGCGGGGGTCTCCGGCTCAGTGGAGCCCGTGGCGTCCCAGGCCCAGATATCTGGTGAGCAGTGGGCTGAACAGCCGGCGGGGGAAGGCAACGACCGAGTTTAGATGGGCTCGCAAACTCGGTCTCCACCCCGTTTCCGGAGCCCGCGACTGGGATGCTGTTTTTCCTCTTGGTTTCATTTTGTGTGGCCCAAAAGACTCCCACGAAGGTGCACGCGCTGGTGGACTGTGGGGCCACGAACAATTTCATGGACAGTCGGTTTGTGGAGTTCCTTGGATTACAATGCTTAGATCTCCAGCCTCCCCGGGATGTACAAAACTTTGATGGGCGGTTGCTGAAAGCCGGGCCGGTGGCTCGCTATACAGCGCCCGTGCTGATGAAAGTCGGGGACCATGTGGAAGAGGTCTCCTTTTTGGTCACGGACCTTCCACATGCCGTGGTGTTGGGAATCCCATGGCTGGCCAAGCACAACCCGACCATTTGGTGGGCTCAGAAAAGACTACAGTTCACTTCGGCCTCTTGTAAAGAACATTGCGGCGGGGAGCGGAAGTGTCGAACCACAGAGGTTGCCGCACAAGCCACGGGCAAGTTGCCCGCCAAATACCAAGATTTCTGGGATGTTTTCAGCGAGAAGGAGGCGGAAAGACTTCCTCCACACCGGCCGTACGACTGCGCTATTGACTTGATCCCGGGCGCCCCGATTCCGCGTGGGCGATTGTATTCTCTCTCGGAACCAGAGCTGGCGGCTCTCCGGGAGTTTTTGGATACTAACCTACGCAAGGGGTTCATTCGTCCCTCGCAGTCGCCGGCTGGGGCCCCAGTTTTGTTTGTCAAGAGAAAGTCAGGGGAGTTGCGGCTTTGCAACGAAGCCTGCTTTTACTTGGATTTGTTTGAAACTTCAATAAACTTCTTTCTTCTCAAGTTTGGCTGGTTTGTCAGAGAGCAAGGTGAAGCTTAACCTGAGACGCAACACCCGTGGTGTATCTTCCTGGCTTTTACTTATGATTTACAGAACATTTTTGAGAATTTGACCTTGGAGAGAAACAGGTGATACTCTAGCTCAATCCTGCCAGTCTGTACCCATTATGTCTGTCTTCACATCCTACATGCAGGAAGCCAACATTGGCTGGCATTTCTTACTGACAAAGAAGGTATACGTTCCACTAAAACAATTGGGGGGACGGACAGTACGGAGCAGTCATATCCAGCTGATGACAGCATAAGAAGAATTGTGTATGTGGCACCACAGTGCATCAAAATACATTGCCTCCAGGTATTACATTTCCACTTCATGGATTGCAATTGCACAACACAGTGCCAGCCAACGCAATCAACACCGATCCACTTGCATTGTGCTACATTAGTATTCATTACAGGGGTTGAGTAATGCAATGCCACCACCAAATATTTATACTATGAAGAGCAATGTGAGATTTCATCCATTGGATGTACCCAGAAAACATGGGTACCTTTTTCTGGTAGGCTCAGAACATGAATAAGGTAGCTTCTTTCTTTCCAAACAGAGATTCCTGTGCCCTTAAGAGTTGCAAGATTGTGAGAAATTCAACTGGCATTCTTTTTCTTTCTACAGTGATGGAAAGTATGAAAGGGGGGGGGGGGGGAGCATTTTTTTAATTCTAAGCACAAAGAAGCTGTTAAAAATTACAGCAGTTCCAGTGGAGACAGATGCCACAGAGTCTAGGGCTTCCCTACCACACTGCTAGCTGGCTTGTGGTGGCAGAGAAGCAGTTTCTGCTGTTAAAATTGGGCTAGTATGGATAAATAGAGGATTGGAGCAGGTTGAACATGTGGATTTCTGTGCTTTACTTTGCATAGTATATTTGTATTATGCACTGGAAGGGTCCTTTGCAAGACTAGGACCGCACAGTGGAGGAAGGATTATCTAGATCTCTGCTGATTCCACTTTCTTCTGCTCCAGAGGATGAGATCCAATCCAAAAGATACAAACTATAATAAAATTCTGACAACATTTCTGAAGATTTTTCTTATGGGAAGATCTCTTCAACACAGAAACAAATTGGTTTGAAAGGTGATTAAATCCCCATTGTTGGCCATTAAATGGGTGGTCTGTATTTCTTGCCCAGGCAGAGCCTTAACTCTTGGGAATCATTTATGACCCAACCATTTTATGAGATAAGCATTTCTCAGTGAGGTGGTCAATCCAAGGCATCTAAGAGTGGTGTATGAAGTGGATAGGAGGAATATAGTTAAAACCTAAAGGTTGTTCAGGTAGATCAAGGAGGAGCAAAGAGTGAGAGTGGTAGGCTTGAAGACTTTGCACAACCATGAAGTAAATCAGGAAAGAGTGGAAACAAAACAAAAAGCAAAGTCATTTCCATTATCGAATTATTCAGCTGAAATGTATCCTCCTTCAAGTAATGTCCACTAGATCTAATCCTGCCCTCTGAGGATGCTGAAAATTTTGTTCAGCTCTGTGTGGACCTCTTTGGGCATTTGTGGGATGCTATAATTTAACCCACCAGCCGAAAACAGCCCTCCTGATATCTGTTGCACTACTCGACATCCCGCCCCATTGGTTATGTTGAGTATGGCTGATGGGAGCTGTAGTCAAAGAACATCTGGAGGGTTGCATGACTCCCACCAACAAGTTAAAGTCTCTGCATACCAGTTATTTCACATTTTCCTCTTAGGACATTTTTTTCCTAACACTTATTTGCACTTTTTTTTTGCGGTGCTCTCTTCTCATCCTGTTCAAATTTGGACAGATTCTTCCTACCCTTAGAAAAGGAAACATGCTCTGTTCCTCTACATCATTCTTGTGTTTCTTCCATAATACATTTTGCTGGCCACTGGCCTATACAGGCCTTTGGTTTGATACAAAGCAAACTCCTCTTATATTCCCAAGACGGATAAATGTAGAGAGTGGTGGGTTGTCTTGTTATCGTTATTTATACATTCAATTTATATCATACTTTTCTCTCAAAGTCAATCTGTTTGGCCACTGTGAAATACAAAAGAGCTCTCTGCAAGATTTATGAACATAGGATCATAGAATCATTGAGTTGGAAGAGACCTCGTAAAATACAATTATATATTATACATATCATTATATAGTAAAATATAATTAAATTAATGTCTATTTAAGAACACTTCAGAACAAGAGTACAGTATCAACCACAACCAATTCAAGTCTCTTTCTTAGCAACCAAGCAAATTGCCATCAACAGACAAAGACTGCTGAATTCATCAGCACTTTGTTCCTGCAGATAAAGCATTCCCAGAGATAATGAATGAAGTTTTTGAAGATATCACAAGAGAAAGGAATTGTTAAAGGTTGATCCTATCATGAGACAAAGTATCTCAACCAGTTTTCCATTCTTTGATTGAATCACCTGATATATCCTTCAACGCTGCTCTGTCCTCGCAGCTGGTCCTCCATCAAATATGTGTTATGAGAGGAGGAGATAAAATAATGGCAGAGGGGCTGAGACAAGTCCTGGTGGACTTTCCTGTGCTCAGGATTGAAGATGGAGCCATCAGGTGAGCACAGGTACATGAGGAATCCATCGGTGCTCAGAATATGGCGAGCTTTGGCTGCAGTAAAGAGAGAAAACAGTGTCAGGGGAGATGACCTCCAGGATATAAGGAAAGAAAGATACCAAAGCAAACAATGACAGTGAAACAGACCAGGGGAAAACAGCTATTTCTGCAGCTTCTATAGCAATATGGTTAACAGAACAAAGCATTGATAAATAGTTCGCGCAAATCTGTTTGGGAAAGAATCACATGTTTCTCTACTCTCTTCTCAGTGCTTAAAAGCATTATTCTCTGATGATTTGGAGTTACTCCAATGACTTTTTCAGGACTTCCAACTCTGGATGTTGTATAATCTGTGGATCCATCAGCTCTCCCCTCACACTGGTCCTCCTCACCCACCTGTTTCAGATGGCTCATATCTGTCAATCAGCTCCATGGCAAGCTCATCAGTGCCACTAGTTTCCATCTGCTCTTGTTGCAGAAAGTCCACGAACTCCAATAGTGTCAGCTTCTTGCCATCTTCAGAGTACTCCTGGAAGATCTCAAGTACTTCGTCCCGTTGTGTTAATGCTTTGTAGAACAGCACAAATTCCTCTCCCTCTAGTGTTCCTGTTTGAGATTTGTCGGCCATCTGTAAGAGTGGAAGGGAAAATGAACGGAGGCATCAGAGCAAGGCAGAAAGTGATCTTGAGGCTACTGGGGAAGATCCTGAGACATAATGCTACTTATGCTAAAGCACTAAAAATATACTGGACAATCCTTAGCATATTAAAGTAATATGATCCTTTCCAAAAAGAATCAAAGGAAAGAAGAGGAAATTGCTTTATGGTTAGTCTATTTTTTATGGAACAGTGTTGTATACCATCTCTAGGCAAGTCTGACCCACCTCTAAAGAAGAGCTGGGTCAGACTAAAGACATATATCATCATTCTATTCCAAGGTAGGTGCCAAGCAACTACCTATGTGAAGCTCACGAGCTTGTATTCCCTAGTTACTTGTATTGAAGACCACATAATATCTGACCTTGAAGGCAATATTTGAACCTTTTCCCCCCACCTTAAAAAACACCCACTGCTACTCCTTAATATCCATAACTTATACATATTTCAGGCTAAAAGGTGACTTTGCATTGCTTGCAAAATACTTTGTGGATGGGGAAATGATCAGATGTCACCGTTTGACTGAGAAGTACAAGAGCCCCATACCACTATTGAAATTCACCTTGAATAACCGGTAGGCATGACCCTCATTCATATCCACATTCATCATCCTCAGTAAGTGCTGCACTTCCTTGAAGTTCATGCGCCCATCCTTGTCCTTATCAGCTTTCTGGAACCAATCACAGATCCATGTGGAGCAGTCGAAGACATGGATTAAGGAAAAAAAGACTAGGCAGTTTGAACAGAGCTACACCTTCAAAGCATATGTAATTTATGTACAAGCATAATCAAGTGCTGCCAAGAGACTTCAGAAGCCTAGCATGTTTCCTTGTGGCTATCCTTCCCAACATCTGTCCCACACTGCCAATTTATTCTTGGCTGAATAGCATGAACCCAGTTACTTGCAAGGGCAGAATCTATAGAAGTCAAAGGTCTTCATCCAATGAGGCACAAGTTTAAGAAACAGTCCCCCCCCCTTTCCCTAAATGTCATATTGCTTCTGAAACAAAGAGCCTTAAATATTTGCAGAATCTGTTTCTTGGGATACATAAAATGAGAGCATCAGAAAGAATTAATGTAGAAGGAGATAATGTGGAATGACAGCTGGTTGAGGTGAAATATGGTTGTGATCCCAAGGATATTACTTCAGGGAGTCATGATATCAGTAACAAATTGATTGAGAAGCACCACCAAAAAGAAAGCATGTAACTGAAGACAGTTGTAGCTATGAAGAGTATGAAGAAAAAAGTGCAAAAATATTGGAGGACAATGCCATAAGATAGGAATGTAGTTGCTTCATACATGGTTAGAACAAGGGTAAATCAAACCCAATGTTTTTTATATGCTAGCAGCAAGTCTCCTGAGTGTTAGACATGAGTGCTTCCTCAGTCCTACTTGGAGATACTAGGAACTGAAGTTGAATATTTTTGCATGCATAGCATGTGCTCCGCTACCAAGCTACACACTTTCCACATATTAGATATTAATACAGGTGAAAATGCTCAGATTGTCTTTTGGCTCCAGACTTAGTCATATTTAAAGCAGACTCACTGAAATCAATGAGTCCCAACATTAGTCAAAGATAATGCAAATCACATGTATTACAATGGGGCTTCTTAATTTGGAACCCAATATTCCCTCCTTTTTTTGGCAGGGCACAGGAGTCAACGAATAATGACCGACTGTATGCAAGGATATTGATCTATCTTTTCTCTCTGGTCCATGTTAGTAACAATCTCCACAAGACGTCGCAGACCTTGGATCCAACACTGAGCTTCCTCTGCTGAGCCAGCAATTAGGTCCAGGTTTTTTCGGCGCCCATGGAAGACAACAGTGAAACAGCACTCGGCTGGGAACTCTTCAGCTAAACTTTGCAATACTTCTGATTGGTGCCCCTCACGCACCGTCTCCACATCACTCACAGAGACTTGGGAGGGGAGAACAAGGAACAATTAGCCATTGTGTAGGAAGTTCAGATTATGTTACAAAAATAAGCCTTGGCTTCTCAGGTTGGCCCCCATAGGGAGTAGCAGTACCATTAGCCATCCACTCATTTATTCATGGATTTGTTTATTTAGCTTGTCAGATGCAGCCATCTGCCCACTCTCACACTACATTACCAGAGAAACAGTGTCACTGTTACACTTTTTGTCCAGCAGAACAAAAAAAAACTCAAAGGAAGAGAAGTAAAGTCAGCCCTCCTTATCCATGACTTCTACATCCACCAACCACAGATCAATAATATTTGGGGAAAAATCCAAAAAATCCTCAGTCTCTCTCTCTTTCTGACACTCTTGTTGAGTTGTTTGGTATTTTATATAAGGGACACAATTTTATTTTGCTGTTGTATAAAATGAGACTAGAATATACATAGATTTTGGTAATCACTGGGGTTTTTAGAACCAAAGCACAGTGGATACCGAGGGCCCATTGTACTACATTTTAGTGGAACAATTAATAGTGGAATGAAACCAAAAAAATGAAAGCAAGGACAGTATAAGCCAATGATGATGTAAGATCAATTGAAGGCAAGACCATTTAGTTCAGGAAGCCAACAGGCTGAGGAAGTCACAACACCAGACCAGAGGATTCAGAGAAATCCCAAGAGGACATAAAATGTGTCTGAATAACAAAACAGAGCATCCTGTACCAATACTGCAACAGACTGTGCAGCATGCAGAAGGACATATATCTTCCATTGCTTGCAACAAAATAATTACATTCAAATGTTTTCTAGGTATATATTGTCATTAGATCACCAAATATCAAAATCCACATTATAATATTTCCAATTTCTGTATATAGTTGTGAAAGCTGGATAATGAAAAAACGCGAGAAGAGGAAAATCAACTCATTTGAAATAAGTCTACCACAATGGCAATCACGTGAACCTAAGAAGAAATAAAGTTTGAACAGTCATGTAGAACCTAAATGACTAAATTGAGGCTACTATTCTTCATACACGACCTGAAATTCCATGACTCAAGATAATAATGCAGTTGAAGGCAGTAGGAAAAGAGGACAACCATATCTCAGCTACTAGATTGACTCTGTTTGCAAGACACGATGATCAGAGTTCCACAAGGAATACCATTCACAAGGTTGTGGCTTGCTGAAGCCAACTTGATAGCAATTAGCAATCATTATGAAATTTAACTTGAAGGGATCAAATATATTTGGATAACTAAGGTACAAAATATAAGTGACACCCTACATAATTTTATTTTTAAAATGAAGTCACTGGCAATTTGATACCTTATACCAAGATGTGGTCAGCACTCAGCTCTACTTTGTGAATAGGACTAGCCTTGCTTTCATAGCCAGATGTGAAAAACAAGTTCAGTATACCTAAAGCAGTGGTTCCCAACCTTTTTTTTTTTACCACAGACCACTTGACCAGGGACCACTTTGACCAGGGACCACTCTCCAACATTAGTACCAAAAGAGTTACAAATCAGTTTTTGGTCAACTTTAGATTCAGTTTGGGGTGAGGATTCAGAAAATGGCATTGGATAGACCACATCAGCTCTAGTTTCTGACACAAAACATATGCCATGGTCAGCAACAGGGAGGGAGTGGCAAGCAGTGCAAAAGGAGCAGAAATAAAATAAAATAAAATAAAGAGGAAGGAGGTTTGCAGACTAGATTTTCATTCTTTTTGCCCACTAGTGGTCCTTGGCCCACGGTTAAGAACCACTAACCTAAAGGTTCACCTCAGAACGTGTTGCCTGTTTTCTCATACATCTAAAATGTCCTTTGAAAGACCCTAAAGGTTTAAAAACATAATGTTGTTATTCACAAATGCCTATAGCATAATATCTGTCAAAATTCTATACTATCTTGCATGTGGCTCTTATATGTCCAGAATTGTTCAGCCTAGCACTTTACTTACATGATATGAAGTGCTAGACTGAACAACTATTGGGTTATACTATATTTTAGTTCTTGGCTGCAGTCTGGATCATATCTAACATTCACTAAGTAGCCTAATAGAAGCCCAGAATGCAACCATAATATATACATTTTGGGGAATCAAACTCACATGCAGATTTGGCATTGCCAGACATCTTAGATTTGTACCAGACAGTCATGCAGTCATCCTTCAACAGGAAGAATCGTGGTTTTTTCCAGTTCTTGGATTTGACCTTGCGCATCATTGTTCCTTGTTGCATCTTTTCAAGGTTCTCATCCAGTTGAATGCCTGAGCAGGAGAAAGAATTCAAATCATGAAGCGGGTGAAAATTAACCAAGAATAGGACACAGATGTCACATCAGCTGCAGTGGTTCTTAAAACAGGCCTGCCTGGCATCTTCTTTTTAAATTGTGTTACCTTCTCATGGCCATCTTGACTGAGGGTCATCAAAATCCTACAGCCAATTCTCTGTAACCCCCTGAAGGCTCCAGAACATACTCACGGGAAGTAAGTGCAGAAGCCATGGTTGTTCTTTTCTTGGGTTGGCACAACTATTACCTACAAAACAAAACAAAGAAATGAAATAGTTGAAAGAAAAAACAATTTTAGAACAATGAAGCACCTGACTGAACTATCTTTTCCTCTTGAAGATATATAAAAAAATGCCAGGAATCTTAGGCAACTTACATGACACAATTTCTTGAATGTTCAAGAAAATATGATAAATCCAGGATTAACTTTGCTGTTTACGAAGATTTCTTCTAACTGGGTCACCAGTTTCATAAGACTCCGCTGTTCATACAAAATCCTTGATTAGAAACACGCTACAAGGACCGGGGCCTCCTCCTTTCAGCCTCAACTTGTGCAGACAATTTTAATGTGTCTGTTTAGGACACATTATCAGTAACCATGCATTGTACTTTAATCCAGTTCTGTAAAGAGATGGGCTATTTATTTTTCACTCTAGCCTACATACTGACACATTCTTGTCCAATCCCACAGAAAAGACCAAAAAGAAGGAAGGAAGGGAGCGAGACAGAGAGAGAGAGATGGAAATGAGAAGAGAAACCATTGGTTTCCAGTGCCTACAATCACTTAGTAAGGTTTTTTTTACTTGCACAAGTGTCAAGTGTGTGGCAATTTACTAGCTTCCCTTAACTTGCATTCAGAATTAGCACGCAAATAAACAAATGGGAAGAATGTTTGCCTCCAAGTAATTTCACAGCTTTCAAAATCCCAAGCAGAATTCAGCAAGTATGTTTAAAAGAGAAGATACTAATGGAGTCAGGAGTGTCGGTTTGGCACTGCGCATGGGTCTAAATCTGTTGGCCCGTCCCATCTATACTACGGGTTTGCATGGGCAAACTTAGGCCCTGCAGGTGTTTTGGACTTCAACTCCCACAATTCCTAACAGCCTCAGGCCCTTACGTCTAAGCGGCTGAGGGGGAAAAGGAAAGGACCTGAGATGGTTAGGAATTGTGGGAGTTGAAGGCCAAAACACCTGCAGGGCCCAAGTTTGCGCATGCCTGATCTACATTGTAGAATTAATGCAGTTTGGTGACATTTTAATTGTCTTGGCTCAATGATACGGAATCATGGGAGTTCCGCAAAATCTTTAGCTTTCTCTGCCAAAGAAGGCTGGTGCCTCACCAAACTACAAATCGCATTATTCCATAGCATTGAATTATATCAGTTAAAGTGGTGTCTAACTGTATTAATTCTGCAGAGTAGATGCACCTTACAAGTATTGATTCAACGAGATTTGACTGCATTCATCCAGTGAGAAACCCTAAGAAGCACGAGGAGAGGCAGTAAGAAATAACAACAACAGCAACACAAGTCAATATAATCAAACTCTTTGTAGTCATCAGAATTGAGAGTAGCACAGTTTAAATCATTTTATGCTGATTTTAAATATGTCACATTAACTTTTTAAAATAGGACAAATGGTACATTACAGCAGACTACTGTAAAGTCTGCACATTTCACATCATATTTGTGTTACACAAGCCAAAAAGCATTTCTCATCAGATATAATTCTAGGTTGTTCTTGTTTTTCATGCTGAATTCAAATTTGTGTTTATTTTTTCTCTATCATGTGCAGTTTTTGTGATGAGGCTAATCAAATAATTAATGCATTTATGCACTGACATCAATTAGATTCTATTGATATCAGTGTGTAAAAACTTTAATTATTCAGATAGCCTCACTGCAAAAACTACACATAATAGAAAAAAAATAAACACAGATCTGAATTCAGCATGAAAAATTCTATAAGAATGGCCTAAAAGTATATCTGATGAAAAATACTTGTTGACTTGTGTAATGGTCTTGTAGTCTGAGTGGCGGATTAAGAACTCCAGGAGACCAGGGTTCAAGTCTCAATTTGGCCACGGAAACTCATTGGGTGACCACTGGCAAATCATACTCCTTCAGCATTAGTGAAAGTCTATGAAAAATTTCCTCTGAATAAATCTTGACAAGAAAACAACTCAAAGGCATACAAGAGCAAAGTTCAGCCAGGGAGATCTATTCTAAATGGGACAAGCAGTTGGATTTAGGCCATGGTTTGAAGGTTTACCAAGAATGTCTTTCTCACTTTCCCAAGCAAATACAAATTCCAGGAAAGACTTTCACCCGGGGGGGGGGGGGGGGGGGGGGGGAGGCTTCTTTGTGAGTTTGGATAGGACTGGAGGCAAATATAAAACAGTTTCTTTACAAAAGAAGAAAGAGAGTTGGCACACACAGCAGCACTGCTCCTTGCTTAAAGGATTCTGTCCCCCAAAGCAGAAAACTGAATGGTTCTACATTGTTTCCTACAGTTGCAAAACCTCATCTTTCTTTCTCTGGTTACATACGAAGCTGCAACATCATGTCTTTAAACTAGAAGTAGCTATTTTTCATCAAACCCCATTAAGTTATTAATGATTAGACACAGACCTACAGAGAGATTTTCACTTAGGACACAGCAAATGAAGAATCTTGTCATGCAAACCAGGGTAATGAAATGTGGCTCTTGTTGGTCTTTGCTCAGATGACAGCCTATCCTGGTTGGGAAAGAGATTGGTAGATCTTTTTTTTTTCTGCCCACCCTCCGATCTTCTTGGTGAGACTTGATGACTTCTTGTTTTATGAATTAAACAAATCTTTTCTTAATTTCTTAATTTCTATTGTAAGCATAAAGCACGAATCAGGAATGAATTTTGTGGACATTCAAAATGGCCAGAAGAGACATCAAGATGGAGAGAGTAGAAGTAGTTGGTGTTTCTTTTAGGGTCTCTCTGAATGGACTGAGCTCTTGCCTTTCATCACTCAGTTCTGAGAAGGGGGTGGTTCCTTTTTTTCATAACAGTTAAGGCACAATACTCACATTCACATTGACCAGTGGATGAAGTCGACCCAAGTATTTTGGGCTGATTTTTTACTACAATTTCTAGGCATATACATGGCTATGGACCGGGCATACTTGGGCCCTCTAGGCATTTTGGACTTCAACTCCCACCATTCCTAACAGCCTCAGGACCTTTCCGTTTCCCCCTAAGCCGCTTAAGTGGAAAAGGAAAGGAAAAGAAAGGGGGCCGAAGCTGTTAGGAATGGTGGGAGTTGAAGTCTAAAACATCTGGAATGACCAATGCCTGGTATAGACGTAGGGTACATTTATCCTCACCTGAAATCCATTTCCAGTGAAAACACAAGGCATCTATAGAAACAAAAACTGCTAGAAAGTCTCATCATGCAAAAGGCAGAAATGTAATTCAACTATTTGTAGAACTAAAACCATTTCAAAACATCCTGTTCTGTTTACAAATATAGAGAAACTGCCAGGAGGAAATGAATATATATATATATATATATATATAGAGAGAGAGAGAGAGAGAGAGAGAGAACTTGGAAAAAAGCCAGTATTGTTATAAAATTAGTTCTCTTTCTAATAAGCTTAACATTAATCAACACAACCATTCTAGTTTTAAATGCAAGGATATCTATTCCTGGGGGCTGATTAGATAATTGACTCGAAATGCATTTTTTGACATTGATTCAGTTTGTGGGGGAAACCCTTGAGTCATGATGTAAATACAAATACAGAAACAGATTATAATGATGTAATTACTTCCTTATCATGTTAATTTGGGGGGGGGGGATATTTGTTCAGAGGAGATTTGAAGCCTGGTCTCCTAGAGTTCCAGTCCAACACTCAAACCACTACACCACAACTGAAGTATGTATTGTCTATTGCAGGCATGGGGGCCGGCTGTTAGGAATTGTGGGAGTTGGAGTCCAAAACACCTGGAAAGCCAAAGTTTACCCATGCCTAGTCTATTCACATACAACATTGGGGAGAAGGAGGAGAAACCCTACCTTTAAAAGACTGAATGCAGCACCTGTGTGAATTTACTTAGGAGTAAATCACCACCACACAGTATATCCCAGTGTTACAATCTAGTCCAAGGAGATCCAAACACATCACTGAGTAAAACCTACCCCTCCAGCAGAAGTCTGATGGAATACAACCAACTGTCCTGAGATCTGCCTTCCCACAAGATTCTATTCAGCTTCTCTTAAAGAGCAAGACACACTAACAGTGGCCACTTGGGGGAAAATTAAGGAGAAGACACAGATTATAATGGGTCTTGAATTTCCAGATTTTGGTATCCACTAGGGCAGGGGTCCTCAAACTAATGCCCGGGGGCCGGATGCGGCCCTCCAAGATCATTGACCCAACCCTTGCTCAGGTTCAACCTAAGTCTGAAATGACTTGAAAGCACACAACAATAACAACAATCCTATCTCATCAGTCAAAAGTAGGCCCACACTTACCATTGAAATACTAATAATTTTATATTTATTGAAATTGTTCTTCATTTTAATTATTGTATTGTTTTAAGTGTTTTTTGCACTACAAATAAGATATGTGCAGGGTGCATAGGAATTCATTCATGTTTTTTTTTTCAAATTATAATCCGGCCCTCCAACAGTTTGAGGGACTGTGACTTGGCCCTCTATTTAAAAAGTTTGAGGACCCTTGCACTAGGGGTTGTTGGGTTTCATGCATGGACTGCCCAAGTCTCCAGTCCTCAATGAGTTAGCTAGGCTAGAGATAGGGTTAGCAGTGGTTCTCAACCTGTGGGTCCCCAGGTGTTTTGGCCTACAAATCCCAGAAATCCCAGCCAGCTTACCAGCTGTTAGGATTTCTGGGAGTTGAAGGCCAAAAACATCTGGGGACCCCAGGTTGAGAACCACTGGGTTAGAGTGAGGGATTCCTCCCCCATATTCCTATGCCTGCTTATCCCAAAAGGGGCTTTGTCTTTATTCGTCTTGCTTGCCACTATCTCCTCCCCCTTTGAAGATGTAGCAATGGAATCTCTGTGGGGGGTGAGGTAACTTCCTCTTTAAAGGTATTTTTATTGCCCTGTCTATTGGGCCATGTGGTCATTCTCCATTGCCCTTTCTCTCTTCTGCCTTTGTCTTCCTTTCAGTGAGGATGCATTTTGTTATTCTCCAGGACAAAATCCTGACTTGCCACACGTACGTTTCTGCTGGTTATGAAGTGTGCTTTT